TAAAGGTATGTACCACTGTGCCCAGCTATTATATTTCTTTTTTAAAAAAAAAATTTTTATGGTTTATTTAACTTTATTTTATGTGCATTGGTGTGAAGGTGTCAGATCCCCTGCAACTGGATCTTCAGACAGTTGTGAGCTGCCATGTGGGTGCTGGGAATTGAACCCCGGTCCTCTGGAAGAGCAGTCAGTGCTCTTAACCACCGAGCCATCTCTCCAGCCCCGCTATCATATTTCTTTATATTATATTTGATACAGTTGCACATAAATAGCCTATGTGCCACACATGGTTCTAGGATCTGAGGTCGCGAGCTGGTATGGATAATCATCCTATATATATATTATTAGAAGTATATTAAAATGATACAAAGTATACATTATGCAGTGTAACTATCCATCTGGAGGCGGGGAGGATAACAGGACTTTAGAGAGAAATGAAGCTGTGAGGAGAAGCAGAGCAGAGGCTGTGATGGTGATGGCCAGCGGTAGGAATCTCTGGGATGCTCAGTGGAGCAGATCCAAAGTCATGTCTCCTGGGAAACCAACTCCCTTGTCCCCAGGGCTGCTCCAGCCAGGCAGGGACACCAGACGCGGAGCTCTCACTTGGCTGTATAACTCCCTAGGTTTGATGTGTCTGCTGTTTATCCCAACCAGAAGAAGTTAAGCACCTTCACAGAGGCCCCGTACTCCAGGCATCATTCTGTGGAACAGGTGAGCCTGCCTCCTCGCGTGGGGTCTGTATCCTCCTCCACCCACCTGTGAATGCTCCAACCCAAGACTGGGGCGGGAAAAGAGGTGTCAGGGGCCTCAGGCTTCCTTCTGCAGCCTCAGCACCAGCCTGGCTCTGTACTCTATGTCCCAGAAGTGGCCAGTGACAGGGCCATCAGGACTGACTTGAGTGCAGAGCCCTGGGTATTAGGCTGGGGGGGGGGGGCGGGCTGTGTGGTTCCATTTCCAGGTCAAAGGTGACTTGGGGGAGGACTTGCTGGGGGCTGGGAGGGGCTAGATGGTTAAGACTGATCCAGTCAGCGCTGAGCCTGCTCTAATTTAGTCCCATATAGGACCTGGGACCTATAACTCCAAGGATACCTGCTTCAGCAAGAAGTTTCTGGAACAGAAGTTGGGCTCAGGCTGGGCTCGGGCCCAGGAAGCCACTCGACTAACCCAGCTACCCCACTTCCAGTACCAAAGTATCATGAAGGAAAGACAGCAACAGGTGAGGCTTAGAGCATGGCCCTCCCCACCTCCAGGAACCAGGCTTCCTGTCCATATGGCTATTCCTTCAGAGTCCCGGTGGACACAGTTTCCTCTTGGAGAGCTCCACCATCCCTGGGGCTCCTTCCTGGCTGGACCTTCCTTGGTTCCTTTTTTCATCGTGCGGTCTCTTCTGTTGGGGCAGGTGCACAAGCTGGGACCTGGCTCTTACAACTTCAAAGACTTCTTAACCCAAATGCAGCAGAAACCACAGAGCAAGCGGGGGCTGCTCAGCTCTGGGGAGATGCGCTTCCGAGGACTCATCGGGGTAGGTGCTCCTGTCTCCTCCAGCCCCCGTCCCTTGCGGGAAGGGTTTTGCAGCTTGGATAGATTGAGAAGCCCCCTTCTTTGGGCTGGTCTCCTCCCTAGGCTTGGTCAGGCTCTCCTCTGCCTCACTGGCCCTTCTGCGCTCTCCTGCGTCTCAGCCTTGAGCCCAGTGGCTGTGAGATCTTCCAGAAGGGACAAACGTGGTTCACCTCCAGGTCTCAGAAGAAACCTAGAATATATCAGAAGCTCAAAAAATGTATCCAGTCCACCAGCCAACCAGGAAATGATGACTAAGCAACAACAGAATGCCAGTACTGAACTAGGCCTTGAGAGATCTGACAGAGATAAATAGGGTAGACGCCCAGGGACACAAACCCCAGTATGAAGAAGGACATACATAGCTGGCCAGAGTTTTAAGGGGGAAATGACACAAGGAAGGAGCGCTGTGGAGTGATTCACAGACAGCAGTTTGGGACCCACAGGTCATAAGCAAAGGGGACTCAAGATACCTGATTCTTGCCTAAAACATTCCTGGGGATGGGAACAGTATAGGCTAGGGACCCGAGATGGGGATACACTTGGCTAGTTCAAACAATAGCCAGGCTGCAGAGCGTGATGAGGAGGGAGATGAGAGGGTTCGGAGTGAAGTCTGTGAGGAGGGCCTTGCAGCCCAGGGAAGACCTTCAAGTGTCCTGCTAGGGGCTTTGAGAGGACACTGAGGTCTGGGGAGGCCAAGGACTTGACTGACCGCTGAAGAAGCTCCTTGAGGGAGGGCCCAGGGCTTCTTCTGTTCAATCTGACTTTTAGAGACAAGCTTCCTGCGTGT